AATTTATTGTATGGTAACACAAAAAATGTAGATTTAGAATTGGTAGTGCAAAAAATGAATTATTGGAGAACTCAATTCCATAAAATTTCAACTTCTAATTTAAGTTCGATTTCGTCAATTCTGTGTACCAATATCAATTCAAACACTACCTCAATGAAAGCTTATATTGTACATTCAGGTGTATTTCAAGTTAGGCACATCCAACAAATATTCATTTTCAATAATCGTACTTCCTCCGTCCCTAAATATTCACCACATTTGCTTTTTCAGCAGTCGCGGGAACTTTTGTTTATTTCGACGTTTTCATTGGTTATTTGATAAAATAAAATATTCTTGACACCTCTTATTTCGAAGAACTTTTCATGTAGTTTTTTTATATGTAAATTTTATTTTTTATTTCTATACCAATATGTAAATAAAATGAATTGAAAAAACTTGATATTTTGCCTTGGAAATACAAATGTGGCAAATAATTTGGGACGGAGGGAGTAATATTCATTCGGAAGCAACATAGTGTCTGTTCCAAGTCTGCTCATTGTGTGTTCATTCTAAAATAACAGTGTTTATTTTAAAGCAACATATTGTTTATTTTGAAATATTTTTTAATTACAAGTTAGCCATGATGTACGGTACATCCGGTTCTACCTTATAATTTGCACCATCTCCATCTATCATACATTTCTTTTTTTTTATCCCAAACTTCTTCAAAATTCTCAATGTCTAGTTTGATACTTCATAATAGAGTTTTACAGACTTGAAATATATTCATTCTTAAGTAGAAATTTGACTAAAAAAGAATTACGGCAAAGATTGAAATATGCTAGAAATGTGTGTTCTTATTATCATTCATCAATACTCATACAGCAGCAAAATATGAAGTTGATGAATAATTATAGAAACACAGGAAGTCAAAAACTTGAATACAGATCACAAGCCACAACAGGACCATTTGGGCACTTTAGAATCTATCCACCAGAAGAGTTCCGTAAAGCCTTTGTAACAGTGCAAATCCTCTCATAAGATTCGGAAGTGGCATCTGCAAATCATTTTAAACTTGTTTATAGCATCACACTAAAAATTGGTTAATAAAGCATTGAATTAATTTAAATAATCGACTGAATTCAATCTTTTATTGTAGTTTAACACAAGTCTTATGACTTGGTTGAGTGGACCCCTACACTATACTAAACTCAATCATCGTATCAAAGCGGGTTAGATTCAACCTAATTGTCCAAACGTCTTATGACCCATTTGCCGCCAAGTAGGGGTGTAAACGAACCGAATCGAAGCGAATACCGATATATTTGAATTTGTATTTGTTTAATTTTTTCGAATACGAATCCGAATCCGAATATGAGACGAATTCAAAATAAGATTTGAATAAGTATAAATAGTTATCGAATCATAAACGAATATTTGAATAATCATACTATGTACGGAGTAATTTATATGATGGACCAACATCAATTTGTAATTTAACTTACAATACTCTTTATACTATACTATATTCCGTATATAAACACATTAATACATTTGCATCTTACACAAATTATATTTTATAAAATATAACTATTAAAAATCATATGCTTTAGATTTTCGTGTTACGTTAATTTATTGAATTCTTAGTATTTTCAATACACTATATTACTTTGCTTGACTTTTGATGTTGAAAACATGGTCTGTGTATATATACATATATTCGAATATTCGAATATGATCCGAATCGAATATATCTCTATTTGTATTTGTATTTGATTAATATTCGAATCAAAAATAATATTTGAATTTGAATTTGTATTTGAATAACGCGAATTCGAATCATCATATTCGAATACGAATCGCGAATCGGATTTAAAATATTTGATTTGTTTACATCCCTACCGCCAAGTGACCCATATAGCCTAATTGTCTGTTTAGAAGTTCTTTCATACTCTTTTTTTTGTTTTGGAGAGGAACCATTTGCAAGTGGTTCAAAATGGTCTTTTCGCCCACTCGGGGGGTAGTAGTATCCCCTTCGAAAAGTTAGAAAAATAATACTCCGTAATTGGTCAACAAGGCATTGATTGAAACAATTGAGTTACTCCTACCCTATACTAAATTCTACTCTGTATCAAAACTTATTTGCTATCCATGGTAATGTAAATATGTAATAAAGATAGTTGAAAATAGATGTGTGAGAGTGAGAGAGAGATGAGCGTACCCTAGCAAGCCACGTCCCTGCCACACCCGAGGGGTGAGTGAAAAGTTGACTGGGACACCTTGCCTCATGACCACCACCGGTATTGCCCTGCCCTGATTTGTCTGAGATTCAGCTGCAAGCCTTTGCAATAAGTTGTCACCAGACTCCACATTACCAAATTTTACGACTTGGTCCCCAAGTTGCAGTCCATCTTCTGCTGCCGGGGATGCTTCAGCAATTTCATCAACTAGTGCAAAGGGTCTACTAGCAACAATATCCACGTCCATGGCAGTAGTAGCAGGAGTCGTGGCAATAATATTCGAAGAGGAAACATTTGAAGCTGCAACATTCCCATAGATGCATGCACACAAAAATACTAGTTTAACAAAAAATTTCGCATTTTAATTGTTTATGGATTTTTTAGATTTAATGAAAAATTAGATTTGCTTTATTGGAAGACAATCTTGTTTTTTTCATGATTAAAAAGGAATGCTTTTGAATTAGGACCTCGGGGACACATCTATGTGTTCAAAGTATATAAATATCCTTTATAGGAACAGGTCACTGGCAATGCTTATGATATAACTATTCACACTGTTTGGGAAGACATTACGACGGATGGTTTGTAGAGGGATTGAGATTAGACAACTTGTTATAGATTAGTATATACCTTGATAAATCTTTATGAATATAAACTCTATATCAAGATATGGCCTAACCCCTTCCTATTTAAACACCTCCACCCATTAACAGAATCTTATAGTTCTACCTTGCTCAAAGAGGAGGCCTTTTTTAGGTGAAGTTTAAAAATTACTACTCGTACAAGATACACCATCCTTGAGACAAGATAAAGTTATCCCAATGAACATCATTACAGCACTGAATGAAAGGCTCACAATGTCCACAAAGAGTGACAAATACCTGCATTTTGGGCAGTGGAAGGTACCGGAGCAATCCTAGCCGAATGCAGGACCTGGATATACTGGTCCATCTTTTCGGTGATGTTCTTGTGATCATTCCGCAACTCTGCATTTTGGGGGCAAAATATTTCATTACAACACTACTATACTACTCGCGGGGCTCAAAACTCCATTTCGAAAATCACAAATCATTGCAACCAGCTAATAACTCTATAGGTTAACAGACATGACTAAATTCTTCGCATGTAGCTAAAATCGCCATGAAAAGGAGGAGTTACCAGCAAGCCTGTGCCGATCAGCGCGCACTGCAGGAATATCAATGTCTGCTCTCGGGAAACCCTAAATCGGATTATTGAAAAAAAAGAAGAAGAAGAAATCGCTTCAAATCCTCGAAGCAAATAGAACACACATGCGTATAATGAATAAAATGGAAAGAGGGATTGCCTCGGAATCGGTGAGGTTTCCGGAGAAGCCAGGTCCGTCAGGGCGACAGAGGCGTTCGATGATGGCATTCATCTCAAGCTCGATGGCGCTCCTTTGATCCATCAGCTTCATAGCCTCGGCTTTCAAGTTCGTCCCCACCATTGCCTTCGGTTTTTCCTCTCCAATTCGCAGTAGACTAGGGTTTTGAACTTCCACTAAGCAAGAAGAAGAAGCTAATGGAATGTTACGAAATTTATGTACCTCATTTTCTTGTGGAAGAAGATACTCCCTTTGGTGGAGGTATATTTGTGCAAAGATTTTGCTTATCCAAACATATATTCGAGCATGAGCAATAATGACATTAAAATAGAATGCCACTAACATGGAATATTTTAATGGATAAAAAATAATATAGTCAATGTGTGGCAAATGAGTAGAGTGACATAACATACAATGATAGGTCATTGTTTTTGTTCTTTTTGTATTTTTTAACAACTTTTAATCATAAAAAAAATATTTTACACATTTACTTTATTATTAAAATATGTCTACTTCTTTAAAAAGACATTTTTAAAAGATAAAAAACGGGACAGTCATGTTTTACACATGGAATGAAAAATGAGGTGAAATGACTGTGGAATGCCACAGTTTGGGTGGTATTTGCTGACATCAGGGCCAGCCCCAAAAAATGAAAAAAAAATTGGCCGAGTCTAAAATTTACATTTTGAGTCATATTTTATTTTTTAGCATACTTTTGGTTTAAAATTATTAACAAATATAAAAATATAGGGTCCTAAAATTTTAGAGGCCCTGTGCAGTTGTCCACTTTACACACCCTCCGGACCACCCATGGCTGACATGACTTTAAGAGGCCACGTATTGCCTCATCGTTGTGTATGCTCTTAGTGAAATATAGAGTTTCTCATACTTTTTATAAGTTGACATGTAAATTTTTTATTTTTTTAATGAATTAAATTCATTCATGATATTTATATACCAATGTTTATGAAAATGAGTGTAGACTTATGTGAATTCATCTCGTCCCAAAATATTCTTACCGAAAAAGTAGAATTATATGGATTGTTGGAAAATTTTAAAGAAATGAAGGATATTTTTGTCTTAACACACATCTATAAAAAAAAGAAAAGATTGAATCTGAACAAAGAAAAAGGAGAAACGAGAAGATTAAATTCAGACAAAGGGAGTAAAACTTCCATTGACCAGATTTGATTGAAACTATTTTAATTTAATTATTTAAAAATCAATATGAAATTGAAAACTAAAAATTACTCCGTATTACGTAAATGTTTTTGAAATTTCATCAAAAATTTTAAAAATTTAGAAATAATATTATTATTGATAGATCTCTAATATTTTCATCTCAGACTATTGGACAGTAAAAGATCCAAATATTAGTGTCAGGGCATTGTAACAATGAAAGAGTACAGATATAAGGATAATGGACGGTGTAAAAATGGATCGCACAAGAGTTTTTCTTTCGCAAACAATTTTTAAATAATTAGACAGATAGTAATTAAATAATTTTTCTTTCGCAAACACACAAGATCAGTTTGATTCATTCAAGGGAAAACAAAATATGTATACATGTATTATGTGTATATATATATCTACATGCAATACAAGTTAAATAATCTCAATCAGCATCCTCTGCACTAAAGTCGGGCTCCGGCGGCTTCTGCAGCTTAACCAACTCCCTTGCACCGCCCTTAAGGTTCCGATTCCGGTGAACGCCCCGGAGCGCGTTGGCGGCAAACTTGGAAGCCAAAAACGCTGCCCCGATGCTGTAACTCCCGTGGCCATGGCTTCCCGCCCTACTCGCCAACAACTCCCGCTCGGCTTCTTCTTCTTCTTCCTTCCTCTGGATCTCCATAACTTTCCTCTTCATGTACCGCCTCCACGCCGCCTGGATGAAGCAGGCCGCCCAAGTCCTCCACTGCTGCGAGTAGAACCGGAACGTGTGTTGGACTTGGCGGCTGTGAAGGCGGCGGAACTGGCCGGCGACGAACTTCAGCTCATCTGCCGCCAGCGCAAAGGCCTCCACCTCTGTCAGGGCCTTGACCGTCCGGGTCGACGAGGGCAGGTTGATGCCGGATTTGGGGTCGAGGGCCCACGTGAGGAGCTCCTCGCCGCAAAAGTCGCCCTCCTTTAGGAGGCTCCGGTTGAAGAACCCGCTCCTCCCGCCGTCCGTCGTCACGCTCTCGAGGTGGCCGCGTATGATGAAGAGCATCTCGTCCACCGGGTCGCCTTCTCTCACGATGTACGTGTTCTCGATGTAGAGAGATGGTTTTAGGCGCTCACAGATGGCATCGAGCAATCTCTCTTCCATGTTCTCAAATAGAGGAACCTGAAAAAAAAGAATCAGTATATCATTACTAGGTCATGTTCCCTTCAACTTATTCTTATTACTTGCTACTTATTTTTATTGGAATCAGATCGCATCAGACCAAACCAGATCAGAAACATCTTTAAATATAACTAAATCAGATAAGACCAGATCAGAACTTATTCCAATCTGATCAGGTGAAGAGAACATGGTCTTAGAGAGGTTAGTTTCCAAAAGACCTTAGCTCAAGCACACAAGGACAAAGTAAACACAGCAACAAAAACAACATAAACGAACAATTTTTAAAAAAATTAAAATTACCCTCTTCACTAACGCCAAACAGAGATGGCGTTTGATCTCCCTTCTGAGATCCTTTGGTAAACTTTGAACAATGGCCTCTTCATCCACTCCACGGGTTTCCAGCCACTTGTACTGATCATAGCGTCTAACTCTCTCCCTCAGTTCTTGGGGAAGTAAGCGGTGATGCATCCATTGCTCTGAGTCCCGCCTTTTCACTCTCATCTCTTCAAGTCGAATGGTTAGAGACTGGAGATATGTCTGTAATACAAATGTACAACAAACAAAAACACAAACTCACTCATGATTTCTTGAACAACTTCTTTCACGATTCGCACATAGGAAGAGGTGATAAAGAGAGACTGGGCTGTATAGGATTGGCTATATTGTCCCATGATATTCATCACATCATATATATGTTTGGTAGCCCATGGGATGGCAATCCATCAAAGTAATGTAAGCCATGGATTTAGAGGGTCACATAAGTTCCACCGATATCGTATAGAAGACAATCGATTTGTACAGCCCCCTTTAATTATAAAAAAAGAACACAACAAACCCAGTAAAATCCCACAATAGTAGAGAAGATAATTTGTCGAGGGAGGGAGTAATTTTTTATGGAGTAAAGTGTCTAACACTTTTTCCAAAATAAATAAACCTGAATCGACCGGGAACCGCAACAGGGATTGTACTTCCCCTATCCAGTTCCAGTTAAGGTCCCACCGGAACTTAGAACTGCCGTACCAAAACCAAACCCTAGTGTATGTAGACCTTACCCCTACTTGGAGGTTGGAAGTAGAAAGGATGTTTCTAAGAGACCCCGGGTCAAATACAGAAACAGAGACAAAGTGAACATATTTGGACGAACAAAGTAAGAGCACTGAAAAACAACCAAGTAAAATAAAGGCAATTAACTACCTGCATGTTACCAATAAGTAGTGCAAAGAGAATCAACCCAAATATGGCAAGGGCAATTGAGAATATCGACTCTCCCGGATATGTGCTAGTTTGAAGGCCCTGACCAAGTGTACTGCAATCAGGAACAAGAACAAGAAAAGTTATACTCCCCACGTCCCATAAATAGGTTCTGCATTTTCTTTTCTGCCCATCCTAAAGAAGTTTCCATTTTCAATTTCTGAAAATCTCTCTCCTCTACACCACTTTTAACCATACAATTTCAGTTTTTCCTAATAACCGCGCCGATTCCATCGAGGAACCTTTTTATGGAATGGAAGGAGTACAATAAAAGCTATAAAATGATGGACGGAATCAGATATTCATGCGTGAAAACACTGTTAATGGATGGTTTGTCATCCCAACAACAACAAAAAAACCCAATAGAATCCCACAAAAAGTAAGGTTTGGGCCTTGGGGAGGGTGTGTATATGTATACATTACCCCTACTCGAGAGTAGGGAAGCATCTCAACAACAAAATAAACTAAAAGATGTACAAGGAAAAAAAAAGAATGACTTGCCTCAAATTCTGCAGTCCCCACCACAAGCAGTAACAGTATTTAGATAAGAACTTCATAGAGAACACTATGCCAGATGACAAGGCATTATTAAAGATTCCAAAATCAAATGGCGGGTTATCACCAGCTACGGTGCATGATGCATTTAGAACTTCACTGCTGATGTTACTCCAAGCAGAATATCCATTCATGAACTGATTGCCACAATACAAGAAGTTAGTATTGCACGTTCCATTTCCATGACAAGCTCTTTGCCAGCAAGTGTCGAAACGCTCCACAGATAACAAGTACCATAATGCCCCAACTACCTGCAAAAAAACAAAGCAAATATTTCAAAAGAGAAGAAATAAAAAGGTCGTTATTTCTTGGAGAATTGAACTGTAACTGTGAGACCGTTATGCTATGTTTGGATTTTCAGAGGTCCTAAGGAAATGGGGGGAGCTATCACGTGTACTTGTGGGCCATAATTCCACAACAAAAATGCTAGGGAAAGCTATTTTATTAACTTTGGTTTTAGTGTTCTTAATTTTTATTTAAATCTACACAAAATTATATAGTGTCATAAATGGAAAAGAACATCTTACATGACTAGCAAGCATGTACAACAGCAAGTAGCTGACAGCACCAGCCCATGCAGTTTCAGCAAAGACACCAGCTGTTCTTTTTAGTTCTGAAGTTAAGGGTAAAAGCCGAACACATCTAGGAAGATACTGGAACAAAATAATATAAAGCAATGCTTGTTTTGTTGCTAGAACATCTGAACCTTTTGATCTCTGCAGAAATTTCCAGACCACAATCTGCAAAAGCCATGAGAAAATGGCTGATAAAATCTTGGGATGTCAAAAACAGTACTTATTTTAGCGTTTCGGACAAGTTTAAGCAGGAAAAGGACTAAGTTTAACAAGAACTCTTTTTAGTGCTCTAAGGAATTGTGCCAATGCTAGTATGCTTGGAAAGATCTATGCACAAATACACATAGATCAAGTGACTTAACTACTATAGCGGCCTAATGTATTCCATACATGTGCAAAATTTATAAAAATTGTGTCACTGATCCAATTTTTGACTGAGAAATAATCATTTTGTTCTAGGATTGATGACAGCATGACACATTTTGATGACAGTATGACACATTTTTTTAAGAAAAAACTTCTACACATAGGACAAGTTGCTCTGTTGAAAACTGAAAATGTTGATTGATAATGGTGATCCAGTGTCATTTTTGTTAGTATCCTTGAGCTTTGAGCTTTTTTGTGTAGTTTCTTCAACTATGCTCTAGATTTGTTAAGGAAAAGGGTTAGGCATTTTTCAGTAATTAGCCCTTGAAAAAGAATTGTAGATATCATGAAATGAGTAAATAGCAGTTGATAAAATTTATGTCAAATAAAAATTAAATACAATGGTTTGGAAAATAAATCGAAGCAATTACACAGGGGTAAGCTGTGACAATAAGCCTATCTTTAGCATGATGTGATCACTCTAGGATCCGCTCTCAAACACTCCACATTTCTGAACATAACGAACTATGCCAAAGATCCAAGATTTCTTTGCCATATCAAAGAGTGAAATTAATGCCAACTCCCCCCCCCTCCGTTTAGAAAAGTCTACAGAGTATTAGGTAAAAGAAAACTAATTTTTCAAAATTTGCTAAAATTGGTTTACAAACAGGTTGAATATTTTAGATTTGAATAACTGAACAAATAAGTTTAAAAATATATGATTCCATAAAACATTCTTCCTTGACCAAACAAGACTTTGTTTTAACGGAGGGATAAACTTTATCCACTAACCTGAGGCAATGGGAACACTGCAAGAAAATCAACGATAAAATAGGAGCGCAAGTAACGTTTAGCAATTTGTTTCGAATCAATCACAAGCTCATCCCGACCAAAAACCCGAGATGAAGGGGCAATATAAGCCGTGCGAAACTGAACTGCCATATGCAAGAGATAGAAAGCATCAATTACTGTTCTCAATGTTGTGGCTATTGTAGCCAACTTTCTGTCTATCCCAAGACAATGTGATTTATCATCGAAAACTGGAAGGTAGAAGAACAGAGGGTCCACAGAGATGCCAAGAATGCATGATATGACAAATATCCTATTCCACAACAGAAGGAATTTATCTTGAGGATCAAATATCTTCTTCTCAAAGGATTTAAGATCTTCCGGAAAAACAGCCCGAGATACACCAAAGCCCAGAGACCGGCCAATTGACTTAAGTCCTTCAGAGCTTTTTCTCATTCCTTTCTTGAAAGAATTTGATGTTCCCCTTGTTGTAGGTCCCACACGTTTTAAACCCTCGACGCCAAAGCTGCATTTGCTTGCTGTTACTGATGATGCCGGTGAGGAAAGCCTGGAATCCAAGTCATCAAGCCTGCACGCATAGAAAGTACAAATACACGAAAACTAAATGAAAAATATAAAAAACTAGAGCTTAGAAAAGCAGTGAGTAAGTATGGGTGCCCCTACCCACCTGATCTGTAATTGGATGGGAATGCATATGTAGTATTGGGTTAATGGGTTCATGTAGCAAGAAGCATACCCACAACTATACCTGAAACCCAATATATATTCCTACCTCCACCCCAACATGAAAGTCCCAAAAATTGAACACACAACGATAAAGAAAGTTATTTTGAAGAAAAAAAAGTTAGTAGGCATAAAGGGTAGGACTAAGATAAGTACTCTAAGTTTGGGAGGTAATTAATTGATAGAACTAGAGAAGAAATATCAATTGGTATTTGGTGCCTAATAAGTAATACCTAAAATTAGAAATGGGTCCTTGTTTTAGATACCCCAAATAAGTAAATAAGGAGGGATCAGTAATATTGATATATTTTCATATTAAAATATATTACTCTGTACTTGTTAAGGACAAAACTACAAAACAGTTCACCATAGCAGCATTGATACCTTACAAACTTCTCTCGCTGCCCACCCAAGTACTGCGACTTAGGACCATAATCAAACATATTGAATTCTCACAAAACACATAAATCTCTGCAGAAAGACAGAAGAGTTGAGGTTAGGGACCATCACTAAACATATAAACCTCTGCATTATACATGAAAAAAGCCCATAGGATGTTAGGACCATCATTTGATTAAGTCTACTTATCAAAATTAGACTTATCCATTTTTAGAAACAATCTACTTATCAAAATTAGGATCAAGTCTTCCTCTCCAAGTTCGAAAACCCTCCATCCAAACTAGCCCCGAAAAATGCAAAATCCTAAGACTAGTAGAGTCAATGCCTGGAATCGCCAGAAGATGAATAAATGACGCCTTATGTCACAGGAAAAAACTCTTTAATTCCAACAATTTCGTGCATCTTACTTCAGTAGTGAGTAGTTTAAATAGAAAATAGCTGGTCATTGTCTCAAGATTTTTCCAAAAGTGATACAAATCCCAGATTATTATCAAAGTTCTAGTCTTCCACGAAGATAATCCTGAAGCTCACTTAAATAATTTCAGAAAATCATCTTCTTAAAGAAGCTCCATAGTCCATGTTTCATAGCTAAAGATGTAAGCTTTAAGCGAATTGCATCGAGAATTGTTTAGCTCAATTGAATCTTCACAGCATTCACATACAAAAATTAAAAAAAAAACAAGAAATGCAGTAGAAAAAACAGATCAGGCGACAATTGGTATCAGCAGAGAACAAAGACCAATTCTTACTCAACTTTCCTCCATTTTTTTGAAGGAACTTTTCTCCAGTGTTTATTGTTCGTTTATTAAATCAGAGAGAAAAACAAACTTACAGCCAAGCCAAAGATGATGCCCGGCCGTAGAACTTCGAGGCTTGGATTCAGTGCAGGAGCGAGCCCCCGGAACTTGTTAAAATCGAGGCGCGTGAACGCCGGCGGCGGTTATCGGTGGTTTATGAAACCGTCGAACCGGTGCCGGAAGTGAATTTGAGAAGGAAAAAGGAAGGCATGATGTGAAACAGTGATAATTTTGACTTGACTCCAATAATCCAACTATGATGAAGCTTCTTCTTCAGTCCCTCCCCAAATATTAAAATAATCCCTCCCTCTGCATAATCATTCATAGTCTTTACTATTTAAAATTAACAAAACAAAAGTTATTTATATTATTTGATTATTACAAGAAATAAGATTTTCTTATCATCCTTTATTTTATAGATTTTTTATGTACTTTTTTAAATAAAAAAATTTATTTTTAATTGTTATACAAATTTTTAAATAAAATAGATTTAAAAACTTTAATATTTTATTTCGTTTTACCTAAATTATGATTCGTTTTAGAAACGAGGGAGTATGGCATATGCCCAAATATATCAATCCATTTGTCCTAATTTAAATTGAATGTTTCGGTTTAGGATGTTTGATTGAAATTATTTTCAAATCACTTTATATAAAAATTGGTGTAGAACAAAAATTACATATATAAAACTGCATCAAAAGATCTACAAAAGTAATGATAATATAATTATATTATTTTATCAAATGATTAAAGAAAATAGGAAAAAAATGAATAAAATTTGATTATATGAATAGGAACGTGCAATTTAAATTGGGACGGATGGAGTATTACGAAGCATGAAGTGTATATTAAAAAATTATAAATAAAGCTAACAAAATAAAAAAAATTGAATTTTTATTTTATAAACTAATTAATAAAAACAAACAAACACTAAAAAATAAATAAATAAAAAGTATAACCTCCGTATCTGAGTAATTGTCTAGTTTTGAATATTTCATTCAAAATTGACTAATTTTGTCCATTGATTTAATAAAATTAGAATTAGATATTAATTCAAAAATTGTTATTTAAAATATATTTTATACAAAATCATTACTCCCTCCGTCCGTGGGTAGTTGTTTACTTTTGATTTTTATCGGTCAAAATTGGTAAATTTTAATTTCAAATTAAATAAAAATAATTTTAGATATTGATACAAAAATAATTTTTTATTAGATTTATCGTATCAAATATTTTAAAAATATTTTTTTATCAAATTAATATACAATATATATTTTATCTAATCATAGGTCAAAGGTTAAAAATAATTAATTGAAAAAAGTCAAAACTAGACAAATGCTTACGGGCGGAAGTAATAAAATATTATTTTATCTAATTAATAAATGGAAACTTCTTTGTGTGCTTATAAATTGGTTAAAACTATTTACAAATAATTTTTAATTTATAAGTTAGTTGATAACATGTTACTGTGTGCTTATAAACTGACATATAAGCTGCTTTTTAAGCCAGGTTTTTCATTTATCCGTTTTTGACCAAATTATTTACCAAACTATCTCTCACAGTTTATGAATATATCTAAGTGACTTATCTATCATTTAAATTTTTTTTTACTCGGTACTTATTTGAAAGAGTATTACTCTACTTACTCCGTATTAATAAGTCAATAAACACATCACTCACACACAAACAACCATAAAAAAACATGTCTCCCCTCTAGAAATTCTAAACATCTTTTTTCAAATTTATACCATCATCAAAGTATAAAATTTGGTACTTCGTATTTCTTACAAACCGACCAAACGAATATTTCCAATGGAAGGTGTAGAAGATGGAGGGGAGCTAGAAGGCGGCAGCTGCTGGGCCGAGTTGACTCAGGCATGTCTCGTGAACATCCTCTCGCGGCTCACCATGGAAGATCGATGGAGATGCGCCATGATGGTGTGCAAGCCATGGTTGAACGCCTGCAAGGACTCGTCCCTCAATTCGGTTTTCGACCTGGAAACCCGCTTCGGCCGCGCCGCCGAGTTGCCTCGATTTTGGACTCCGGAGTTTGAGCGCAGAGTCGATTCCATGCTCCGATCCGTAGTTCTGTGGAGCGATGGCTCCTTGACTGAAATTCGAGCCCGACACTGCTCGGATCGATCCCTCTCTCTGGTCGCCGGAAGGTGCGCGAATAAGATGCTAACTTTTCCTATCCATTATGATTCTGTAGATTGGATTGAATGATCAATTAGTTTTTTGCATTGCGTAAAATGTGGATGCTTGTTTGAATGTTCCATTGATGGATTTGTGAAGCATTGGAGTGTAATTATGATGACAATTTTTTTGAAGTTGAGAATTTCTGCACAAAGCTCCATCCTACAACTTTCTTTCCAGTTTGGTTTACGTTTGATTGAAATTATTTTCATTTCAATTTATTTGATTATAGAAGTAAAATTATTTCTTATCGAGAAGGACAACTTGTAAATGGCTTCTTCCAGAATTCCAGCAAATCGAATCCCGGAAAAAGACCAGGGGAGCCGGTTGGACTGGTGTAGTGAATGTTGCGGCCACGTCCCTCCAATTTCAGATATACTTTTGGGATGAAGAAGAAGAAGACGATGCCTGATTTTGAAGAAAAATAAAATAGATTAATTATAATCTTATTAATTATAGAATAAAACATTGACATTAATTAAATTTATTACCTCTCCCTGATTTGATTCAGTAGCAACATGATCTTCTTTTGTTTGCCCAGAACACTCCTCAATTCCAAATGGGTGGAAAAGCTTCAATGCAATATGCATCCTCCTCCTCATCTGTTCATCATCATCAGCTTCTACACCAAGATATTCTCGAATTCATCCCACGACACGAACTCCTAAACTCAGTTGATGATCCCATCAAATATTAGTTGCACATCTTGATCATACCCGTGCGAGTACATTAGTCAATCCTACTGCAGAGTATGTTGACTTGATGAGACCGAGCCAGACGCGGATATGTTCTTCCCCCCGTTGATTATGTTTCATAAACACCACCTTCAAACTTTCATCATTGTTCCTCAAGAACATGACGAGGAAGAGGAGGAAGTTATGGAGTACAAAGGAGGAGGTAATCCCACTAAAGAGAAATCAATAAAAAGATGCGGATTTGGAGGCATTCTGTGGAATTTTCGATCAGATTGTATATCTAACATTTCTAAGATCCGGCTGGGTTACAGGATTTTGCAGAGGGCTTTTGATCAAGATGTGCGGATGATATTTGATGGGATCGTCAATCGAGTTTTGGAGTTCATGTCGTTGAATGAATTCACGAATTTCTTGGTGCAGAAGCTGATGATGATGATGTGCAGAACAGTGGAGGGGGAAGATGCAGATTGTGTTGAAGCTCTTTCACCCTTTTGCAATTATGGAGTGTTCCGGGAAAACAAAAGAATATCATGTTATTAAGTTTAATTAGTGTCAATGTTTTTATAATTAAGAAGATTGAAATTAATCTATTTTATTTTGTTCTTCGAAAGCGTCTTCCTATTCTGCATCTCAAAAGTCTACTCAAAGTTGGAGGGACGTGGCCGTAGCATTCACTCCACCAGTCCAGCCGGCTCAGCGGCTTTCCCGGCTTTTTGACGGGTTCGGGTCGTTGGGGTTCCAGAAGAAGCCATTTACGAGATGTCCTCTTCGGTAAGAAATCACCCTTTTTTAATGTTAATATACTCATCTCGTTTGGTAGATTTTTTATGTAGTTTTTAAATATATAATTTTTATTTTTTCAATTTTACTTCTATAATCAAATAAATTGCATTGAAAATAATTTCAATTGAACCTCATAAACCGAACTGGAAAGGAAGTTTTTGGACAATCTCAACAAAATAGCATCATCTAACAGTTCTAACTTCTAACTGAGTAGAAGAACCAGATACGTCTTGAAAGCGTTAGAGAGTGTTTTCTACTTTGTACACGCTGTTCCTCTAGAAAGGTCTTATTGGGGATTTTAGATAAGCGACAAATATATTTTGAACTTTGAAGATCATTTTATATGTTAGGGTGTTGCTAAATCCACTCCGTTTATAGTAAAATGGAGAACTTTGCCCTTAAAACACATAGAAAGATGTTAGATGTTAGCTAACTTTTAAGGGTAGATTTGCCCATTTAACATAAATGGAGTGGATTTAGTCATAATATGGGTGGATTTAGCAAAGTCCTATGTGTTATTATGCATTTTTCTTTGCATCACCCTCGAGGTCTGAGTTACCAGTTTAGTATAGTCCATTGATTCATGTGTCTAAGTCTAACGGTTGCTACAGCTGTCCAAAACTTCAAGTTCTCTCAATCCAGAGCTGCGCTCATGTCACTGATCAAGTCATGACCAAAATAGCCTCGGGATGCCCATTGCTCCGGGAAGTTGACATAAGCTTCTGCCACGAAATATCTCACGAGTCGCTGGCTGTAATGGGAATGAACTGTCCTGAACTAAGAGTCCTGAGGAGAAACCTGATGAACTGGCTGGACCCTTCTCAGCACTCCCATGCTGTCCCTAAGGAGTACCTAGACAGATGCCCTCAAGATGGAGACTCAGAAGCCGCTGCAATTGCGAAGCACATGCCTCATTTGGTGGCGCTCGAATTGCAGTTCTCCAAGATGACAGGGAAAGGGTTGGAGTTGATATGCCAGGGGTGTCGGAAGTTGGAGTTTCTGGATCTATCCGGGTGCGCGAATCTGAGTGGCCGAGACGTTTATCGGGTTTCTTGTCATTTGAAGGAGATGAAGAGTTTCCGGAAGCCGGATTTGTTCATCCCAAGGGCAGAGTTCAATGGGGATAGGTATGGTCATTGGCAGCTTTATGATGAGCGTTTCCAAACTGATGCTTTCAGAATTTGATGCAATGGCACACCCACACACAACCACAGGTTTGACTGTTTATGGGTGTCAAAATTCATTAAGAGCTTCATCCTCAATTAGTAACTTGATGTGGCTTGAATTTGGAGAAGTATCAAATATGAACATCAGTGAATTGAATGTAGCCATTTTTGTGGTTTGGTATGATAAAATTGTTTTGACAGGTATTTTTATCAATAGTGTTACTTTAACTTCAAAGATGTCCTGATTTCGCATATGGAAATGCTATGAGCCCACCACGGGTACCCTCACGTACGACAATTACAAACAATTTATACATACACGGAAGCTAATCGTCTGTGAATACAAATGATGATCGTCTGTGTATGTATGAAATCATTTGTCATGTGTATGTATGAAATCACTTGTCATTGTCATCCCTTGTCATCCCTGGAGGCAACTGTGGTGGGTTCTCTAACATGTTTCTTTCGCGTAAGCAGCGAGACAAGGACTATGTCACCATTTATGTCATTTGTGGTGTGAGTGTAGCATAAACGGGGGAAATAAATGGGAAAAAACTTTCTAAACGTGTGTAGTTTCAATGGGTTGTTTGTTTGTTAAAATTTACAAAAAAAAATCAATTTATACTATTCCACGGACCCCAAGTTGCTTCTTCGTTACCTGCTATTATTAAAAAGCACTTCCTAAAATTGTGGGATTTAAATTTGAAAAATGATAGAATTTGAAACACACAGATTACAAAAATACACAATCTTACTTTTGGTGAACGGGAAATCACACTAAAATAAAATAAAAATGATTTTAAATCATTAGAAAGTTAAATTATAAAAATAACAAGTTTGTGTATTTTGTGACTTTTGGGTTTGCGACCCTAGCATTTCTCTCTAAATTTACTTGCAATGGATTGCAATTATTCAATATCTTAAAAATCAAAGAAGACTAAAAATATACCGAGTATATTGGAAACATATGAAGAAATTGAAGCTCTAAAAAAAAACTATTATTGTGAGTTACGATGTTTAACAGAAATGCAGCATGAATTTAAAAAATCAAAATTTACCGAAGTATACTCACTCTCGTTTTAGCAAAATACACTCTATTAATGTTAAATAGATAATTTTACATCTAAAAATACAAAAGAGATAATTTAGATACTCTTTATAACCCAATTTGTTAGGATAAAGTTGTCTATTTAACACTAAAAAATAACCAAAACCTATGTGGATATTTTCAGTTCTACAAAAGCTTGCCAAATCAATTGCATATTTGCATATATGAAAGAAATGATTTGTATAAATAACTCCAATGATTCCCATAAAACTATATTGTCTACCTACTTTAACAAAAATAAAAAATAATTAAATAAGATCAACTGAATAAATTCTGACATGCCCCAATATCATTTGCCTGTGAATCTATGATCACTTTGCCAGATGATGGAGAAGAAGACTTCACCACAGCCATTGCAGCAGAGAACACATCTTTCCTGTACATCTCATCCCTCACCTTCTTCATGATCTCCTTCACCACACCAAAGTCCAATCCCCCACACAAAACCAGCCTTCCAATAATACCCCCGAAACCGGCGGGTGTTTTTGGCAAATCCATGGCAAGATCGTCCAACACGCCAGCAAATTGCATGCACCCATTGCCCAAATCCTCGGAAGAAAATATCCTCATAGCGTGCAAGACCTCGAGGAGTTCTGACACGTGCTCAACGCAAGGCGGGCTCTTGTCTAAGCCAAGGGCAATTGCGTCATTCACAACCTCGGGGAAGTGTGACGTGGCATTTAGTTCTACGATGCGCCGCAACGCTTGCTCCAAGAGCCCGAAGCTGAAGTATTCCTCCAAAAGTGCAACAGTTTTCTTTTTGAGCTCTACCGGGTTGAAGGTTTCTGCAGTGCCATTCGGAGTCCCTTTGGATTCGCAACAGTGCTGGGGAAAGATAGCATGGAGTAAAACTTTTAGGATTTCTGAAGTAGAGAATAAAACTCAATAAAAGATAAGACTAAAACTCAATGAAGTTAATTTAGAGATTAGTTTATACCCATTTTATATCTTTGTTAAGTGTATTTTATATTAAGAGCTCTAAAGCTATATAAATATGAATTAAATGTAATACTCTACATATCCATAAAAGCTTCACTGAATGTGTTTTTAAAAGGCAAACTTCAAAATAAACTTCACTAAGATTTTACAAGATCCTAGCTTACTCTTACCTTTCCCGTTTCTGCAAATCCAGAAGCAGATGTAGATTGTGAATGTCGGTTTGAGCCAGGAAATTGGTATGCTTGCTCCATGACATATCCCTGTATGATGCCACAACTGCCCCGGGCAGAAGTTCTCGGATTCAACTGGGATGCTTGCTCCATGACATATCCTTGTATGATGCCACAACTGCCCCTTTCAGGACTCCTCTGATTCAACTGAGATGCTTGCTCCATGATTTTTCCTTGTATGATGCCACAACTGCCCCGGTCAGGACTACTCGGATTCAATCGGGATGCTTGCTCCATGACATTGCCTTGTATGATGCCACAACTGCCCCGGGCAGGACTCCTCGGATTCAACTGAGATGCTTGCTCCATCATATTTCCTTGTATGATGCCACAACTGCCGCGGTCAGGACTACTCGGATTCAATCGGGATGCTTGCTCCATGACATTGCCTTGTATGATGCCACAACTGCCCCGGGCAGGACTCCTCGGATTCAACTGAGATGCTTGCTCCATCATATTTCCTTGTATGATGCCACAACTGCCCCGGTCAGGACTATTCGGATTCAATCGGGATGCTTGCTCCATGACATATCCATGTATGGTGCTACAACTGCCCCGGGCAGGATTACTCAGATTCAGTAATGGCGGTTGAGCTCGTCCAGCTGGTGCAATATCAAGTCCAGGCATACCCGGCATCTTACTCATTCCAGGGCTAGGTCCACGAGGAATCCTTAGACTTGCAGTAGAACCGGCACGCAACCCCATGTTCTTCTCTGCCTCTGAGTGGATCTCAGTGATGGTTTTGGCTTTGACCTCTTCGCGCCGCGGGACCCAGTTATTTGCACGCAGTTCAAGAACATCACGGATCATGAATCTCAGCCGTGCAGCCATGTTTGGGTTTGTTGACAGTTCTTTCATTCGGTTGAAGTATGTGTTGTTGATGCATTTTGACCTTTTGCTCTCATCAATCTGTTTCCCAATGGTCTTGAAGAACTGACAGATAGCTTCAACATTCTCCTCTTCCGGGCAGCTTTCCATATCTGACCCTAAAAGTTCCTGTTTGATGTTTTGCAAATTGGAGTTAATTATAAACCCATGCAAGGTCCATTAGATATCTCAACAAATCCTTGTGGAGGTGGGTGTAATTAACCTAAAAATATGGTTATTTCTTGATCAATTGCCAAATAACCCTCAACACTTATAAACTCAAAGATGTTTTCTGCAACCAACTGTTTTACACTGACAGATTATAGGTAGTGCAAAACAGGAAGAATTAATTGAGTACCTTAACAATGTGATGAACAATCCTCTCTGTAACCATTTTTTGCTTCAAAAGCTCCCCAATAAGACGGATGTTACCAAGAGTGCGCAGTTTGGCCAACCTTTCTTTATCTCTACTTTCGGACTCCTGATCGGGAGAGGTCAACTGTTTGACCTCTTCCGGCAGATTGTCAGACCCTTCAAAGGCCTCCTGACAGTTATTTAAGAGAACTCGCTTGAACGTTATTTCCTTCCCGCCAGGTTCATCAGAAGGGAATGGCGGTAGCTTCTCGTTGAGGTCAGCACACAATTGGGCATACATTGGGCAAAATGTTGGCTCCAAAACAGCCTTGTCAAATATCAACCCAATCACACCCTGTGGTGGAAAAGACATGCATCCAAACAAGGAATTAGTGATAGTGATTATAACAATGAATATAATGATATAACAAGAAAAAAGGAACACAATAAGGGTAAGGCTCTGTTTGGCCTTACTGTAAAGACCTGGTTTATAGTATAAGTAGTGGTTTGGATAAAACTCTAAAGGTGATGTTGAACAAAAAGCAGTTGAGCTGTTTTTAGGGCACTAAAGGTGAAGTTAGATTTTTAATACTCCGTAACAAGTAGATATATTTTTTTAGGACGACGTTTTTAACAGGATTTTAAATAGTTCCGAAGACGGGCTGAACATACGACTTTCAGCATCCCTTGATACACTTTTAGGCCTCAAAAAGTATGCCAAACAGAGCCTAAGCCATCAGACTAAAAGAGGCATATGAGTACCTTCAAAATATCAGCACTAGATATGCCGGCCTCTATAAGATGGCCTTTAAGGAGATCAAACTTCTCTGGAGTCAGCTTGTTAAGTATGCTGCAGTTATTGAACAGACAAGTAGGTGTAAGAAAACAAATACAGAGTAAATTGATAAAAGCTTATATAAGGATATAACTTTTGAAGTTTTAATCACAGATGAACACATAGAAGCATATGCTATGGATTTACAGTCACATGATTAGTCGAATAGAGAGAAATTAACGTATCCAATACAGAATACAGATAAACTTACACATATAAAAATAAGGAAATATTTCTGCAAAGAATTTTATAAACTATCTATTGACTGTGAACAAATGAACAATTTATACATCGATACCAAACATTTCATACTCCAGTATAAAACAAGAACTAAAACTTCCATGTCCCCATTGTCCCAATTAAAAATTTGAACTTCTTTTTAAATATTTTCCAGAAAATAGTTCTCCATAGTAATTAATGGAAGATGATTATTACCCCTTAACAGTTTTTAAAACACGCTCCTTTTCAGACAGTTGGCCTCTTCTTGCAGACCATGGTACCTTCGCTTTAATTAGAGCAGCAGTTGGTCCTCCTCCCTGGTAAAGAACAATCCTCAAATTGAGTTTCTCAATGAACATATTGTTATATAAATGATTTACGGAGTATTTTTTTAAATTTGAAGTTGTTATCAGTACCACTTGGTTTGGAGATTTATGGGATGTTGCCGACTGTGAGTTTATATGATCTCTCCTAATAAATTCCTGCTTAACAGATTGGTTCCCCCAGTCGCGATTATCAGGCACAGCATATTGAGTTTGGGATTGGCCATGTGAAGAATAGCTCTTCACACGGCCATGATCGGCATCTTTGCCAAATAGCTCAGATTCAACTACTTGTTTGGCTTTCAGAACACTGTCCAGGATTTTAACAGCCTTCCGTAGTTCAAGCAGCTGGTCTCGCGTGTAACGTACGCATCCATGGGCTTTATGAAGAGATTCTCCATTCTACATTTGTAGAAACGTACAGTTTTTATCAAACACAATTCACAATATTTTCACAAACACATACATTTCCTTGAGTCATTGACATTATGCCACAATAGAAATAGGGATCTAAATAGAAAAATCCCACCTTTTCATGTGTTTCTGAAATTATACACTTACTCCACATGGCTTGGATCCTCTATCCCTCCTCCATGTGCCACCACTCACATCCTGCCACATAATCCGCCCCCACCTCTAAACCCACCCACCTATATACATATGTCCCCCTATCCCACCACCCTTTAAAGATGGGTTTAGGGGTGGGGCGGTTTATGTGGCAAAATGTGAGTGGTGGGACAGGGATTTGAGACATGGAGAGGGGACAAAGAATCGAAGCCCTACTCCACAAACAAATACCATAAACCGATCCCATTTTTACTACGATTCATGAAATTTTAAAAGTGAAAAGACTAACAAATAATTTGAAGGACCTGTGGTGCAATTTAGTCTAAAGATATAGATACAAAATCAAACTATTGACACACAAATCGATTACAATAAGATTGAAGTTCATCCATGGAATTTGAATTGATACTAGAAATTAAAATGCAACGGAGCTAGAGAGGATTTTTGGAAACAATGACGAACCTTGGAGCGAGGAACAGCCGGGGAACCACCGAGACGGCGGAATCCAGTGGGATCAAAACTGGAAGCCGAAGAGGAAACGAAGCGGGAGCCGAACAAACTACTTCCGCCGCCGCCGCCGCCGCCGCCGCCGGGTCTCAAGCTCAGTACCGGCTGAGCAGTTTGCATGGCTCAATCCTTTGCCGTCCGAACAAATTGGCACAACAAGTCGAAAAAATTAAATGACGCGATTATCCAAAACCTAGGCGATTATATATATATTTACGTAATTAATCCTTTGTGTCCCAGGAGAAGTAAATGTACTTCCTCCGTCCCATGAAACATGGAATATTTGCTTTTTAGGAGGGATTTAAGGGAGTGTATTTTGGTATTGAATTTTCAAAAATGTCTTTTGATGTGATGGGTAAAAATATGATTTGATGGATAGATTATTAGTAAAAAGGTATGATGTGATAGTTAGTGTATGAAAAAGTAAGGGGTAAAATTGACTTTTTAATAGAAATGAGAAGTGTTTTGTGGGACGGATAAAAAAAAAACGGGAAATATTTCATGGGAATGAGGAAGTATTGTATTAGAAGAGGCTGTTGTTGAGGACGTCGAAGTGTAATCAACTTTTGTTTCCTAATCTTCCTCGAAAAAGGAAAAACTTTTGTTTCCTAATGATTAACGGTGGTTTTACGGTTTTACTAGTGATAAAAAACGGCGGTTTATGTACGGAGTACTACGAAAAAATGAAAGTAGTATTGTGATCTTCGAAAATTAATAAAACTTGAATAAACTATTGAAAATATATTTCGAAGTATAATACTCCCTCCGTTCTAGAGTATTTGTCCATTTTCATTTTTACACACCATCCAATACACTTCTTTAATCTATTTTATCTTGTAATTTCTACATTAAAAAATTATAGAAATTATATATTAATAATCTATATATTAAGACAAATCAAACAAGATCACACATGACTATATTTAGGCTTACACATTGAGAAAATTTGATGAGCCAAAGTGCTTAGATGAACAGTTTCAAAAGTCAAAACTGAACGAATATAGCGGGACGGAGGTAGTAAGAGTTTTATGTTTAAATAATACTTACGTAGTCTCGAGATCTACACTTAAAATGTAAAACCTTCATATTTTTTATGAGCTTGCATGTGAATATTTCTTTTATTGTATTAAGCCCATTCTTTTAATCTTACAAATATACTAAGGTCCATAAAATGACTATGGACTTTAGGTCTACGAAAGAATTTGTGTTCATTGTTTATACTCTCAAAATAGGAGTTAAAAGACATATACAATGTCAATCACGAGCTTATAGAATATCATGAAGTATTGTGAAATATTCTTATACGATATCACCTTATCAGAGCGCAAACTCCTATTTTGAGATAAAAGTATAGAGTTTTTATTATAGTAATTTTTTAATATTTTACTCCTATTTAGAGTAATTTTTTATAAACATTTATACACAAATACTTCGTACTATTATATAACACAACGGTTTTATAGCCACTGGTTTACAGAGCGACGTGGTTGTCACAGTCTTTTTAGAATAAGAAATCGTCCTAAATGAAAGTAAAAATATAGAAACTATCAAAATAAGAGTTTCATTTATTTATTATTTAAATAGAAGTTTGCACTGTGATAATGTTACACAATACATAGTCATTTTACTATAACTTTTGATAATGTACATGCTCATGAATCATGATTGATAATGTAAATGTATTTTAGCTTTTATTTACATTACAGTGGCTCTGTAGTCTCTAAGCATGTGGCTACTGAACCGCACTTGTTACTCCCTCGTTCTAAAACTATCTTCCCACTTCCCTTTTTCTCCGTTCTAAAAATACCTTCCCATTAGAAAAAAAAGAAAACAAATGACATTAATACCCTCATGTATTTACACCAATTATCATCTAACTCTATATTTTTAATGATTGTAAAAAAAATTTCAAAAAATCTTTTTTAAGGAGGGTAAAATTTGAAGTCAAAGCTAAAAATTAAAAATGGGGAAAAGTCAAACTGGAAAGAAAGAATTAGGACGGAGGGACTATATAATTGCATATCGTTGGATTGATAGATAATTAAAATAAATGAAATTATATCTTCAAATAAAATACAACTTTATAAGAATATTTTTCGATCGTATATAAATTTGTGCGAAAGAAGGCGTTTAAAGTGTGCATGACAATTGTTATAAACTGTGACTTTAAAATTTTTAAATTCACATTAAAACTTGCATTTTGTATATGATAAATTTAAAATATCAAAAAACATGTGTTAAACCTATTAGATTGTTTTATTTTATATTCTGATGTGATTTTTAGGTATATAAATTAATATAAAGAATTAAGAAAATGCATAAGCTTTAGAAAAAAGTAAGATAATTATGTAATAATATTAAAATTTTCTTTTAAGTTATTATTCACATGGTCAAACTTTAATCACTTTCTTTACATGTTTTCGTTACTTATTTGTAGAACTTTTGATAATGTTTTTAAATATATAAATTTTATTTTTAAATTTTACACCTACAATCAAATAAATTAAATTGAAAATAAATTCGGTCAAACCTCGTAAATTGAAACGAGAACAATGTGTGAGGACGGAGAGAGTACATTAAAAACAAGTATGATTTTGAAAAAATCCTACATTAGCGGATCGAGAGGTCGAGTTTGGATTAAATCAGATTTGACCCATTTTTAACGGGTCATTTCGCATTCAATCAACTTCTGATTTTTCAATAAAATCCTTGATCAAAATTTAGTATTTTAAAATCAAATTTCAGATCAATAACAGATCGGATTATTTTTTGTGAGGTCTATCCACCAACACTGATGATAGGCCTTGTTTCGGACCCTGTCCCAAATCTCAACCATGGTCCCGATTCTTACATTCATTTTCATGCGGGTCTTAAACATATACGGAGTATACAATAAGGAGTATATTGGACTTAAGCAACTTCCAGCCCTTCCAAAAAAATAAAAAAAACATCTTCCAGCGCAACCACAAATAAAAATTTATATACACATTTGTTCAAAAATATTTGTTCAATTTTAATTTTTAACAATTAAAATTGATAAACTTTGGCTATTTAATTAAATAAAATTTATAATAGATATTGATACATAGACAATTTATTAGATTTATCGTGTAAAATACTTTTAAAATATTAGTTTATATAATTAATATATCATGTATAAAAATAAATGAGGTGATATATTAAAACCTACAAGTATAAAAATAAAACTAAATAAAGTAGAAGTATAATAGTAATAATGCAATATTATCAAATTGTAATTAATAATGGTTAATCGCAAATGTCTCGTGGCCATTGCCAACACCTTTCAATCGTCCCCTTTATTCTCTCTCCCTCACTATGTTAGCAAATTTCATGCACAAAAAAATCTCATACCATTTGCAAGCCATTTCTTCCCTCAAAACATTCCCACATTCTCATTTTGCCCCTCCAAAGGGCGCGCACTTGTCACAAGTGCGCGCACAACACTCCCACCACCCACCGTCGTCATGGCCATTTCCCCATCCTCCCGTTCTGCCTCTGTCGTCTTTCTCGTCCTCTTCCACGCGACGACCTGCCTCGTCGTCCCGTCTTTCGGGAAGACCGAGGCCGAGATTCTCACCGCCTTCAAAGCTTCCTTGGAGAATGCCTCCGCGTTGTCCGACTGGGACCCGTCTGCAGGGGCCGTGGGCCCCTGCACCGGCGGCCGCCCCAACTGGCGCGGCGTCATGTGCCTCAGGGGAAAAGTCCACGGCCTGAATTTGAACAACAAAGGCCTCGGCGGGACCATCGACGTCGAGTCCCTGGCGGGGCTACCGTCTTTTCGGGTCCTTGGCATCATGAACAACAACTTCCACGGCCCGATGCCCGCGTTCAAGAAACTCGGGTCCATGAAATTCCTATACCTGTCCCGCAACCACTTCTCCGGGGAGATCCCGGACGACGCGTTCGCGGGGATGCAGTCGTTGAAGAAGGTCCATTTGGCGAATAACAAGTTTTCCGGGGCGATTCCGAGCTCGTTGGCCAAGGCCAAAAGGTTGATAGAGTTGATGGTGGAAAACAACAAGTTTGATGGAGAAATACCAAATTTTAATCAAGAACGTTTGAAGATGGCAAATTTCTCCAACAACAATCTTCAAGGTGAAATCCCAGCTAGGTTTTCTAACCTCAAAGCTTCCTCATTTTCAGGTATAATAATGATATCTTTTTAATATATTCATTATTAATTAGTGGTGGTGTCCAAATTTTGGGGTTCCAATGAAGAGAATTTTCATAAATTGATCTAATCAATTAAAGATGTATGTGTACATGTTTTTTTTCTTTGATTAGGGAATGTTGGTCTTTGTGGAAAGCCATTGGAGCCATGCAAGGTCGATGACGACCCTGCAGACTCCAATAACTCTCGGTTCAAAACGATAATCATCGTGGGCATGGTGGTGCTGGTGATCGTAGCGGTGGCCATCGCCATCATCTTAGCCATGCAAAGGAGAAAACCCGAAAACGACGAGGACAGTGGCGGGTCAACCCGGGCGCAAGTGGGCACCCAGACGACAACCGATTTGGAGCGAATGGAACGGGGCTCGGCTGGCGTGCCAGGCAAGAAGTCATCGCCATCGGATCCACAAGCCAAGACCGGCGTCAAGCTTTCGTTCCTGAGGGACGAAGACACGGGCAAGTTTGACTTGGCCGACCTGCTCAAGGCCTCCGCAGAGGTCTTGGGAAACGGGTCCTTCGGGTCGACTTACAAGGCGGGCCTCAGCTCGGGCCCCGTGGTGGTCGTGAAGAGATTCAGGCAGATGAACGACGTCGTGAGGGAGGATTTCGTGGAACACATGAGAAGGCTTGGGAAGTTGAAGCACAAGAACTTGCTTCCTGTTGTGGCTTTTTACTATAGGAAAGAGGAGAAGCTTATGGTTTTTGACTATGTTGAGAACGGAAGCTTAGCTTCTCATCTTCATGGTATGCTTAAATTATTATTCCTCCCTTTTATTTTTGTTTTAATTTCGCCTGGGTTCAGTGACAACTGGATTTCAGTGGCGACGGAAGCCAACGATATTTCGTTCGTAAAATTGATAAGAATAATGCTAGAGTCACAAACAAACCGTTCACAAAATTCACAAACTTACCTTTTTAACACTTTCCTAGAAATAAATGCACTCAAATAATAAAAGATGTTTAAATTTAATTCCCACTCCTCCTAACTACCTGCCCAATCCCGACCCCAATTCACCCCCACCTACGTTAATTGCACTCCGCAAGTATAATTGACTTCAAAGTCTGAAGTTTTGACCTCAAAGTCAACTAAAATTGCGGGGTGTAATTGACGTAGGCGGGGTATGAGTTGGAGTTGGGACTGGGTAGGGGGATTTACCGAGGGAGTTAGGAGGCCGGGATAGGAATCATCAATTTTACAAACGAAGCATCGTAGGTGTCTGAATCCGAACAGTAACTTTCGTGCCTTTTAGTTTTTCTATCTTTAGGCACTTTTTTTTGTTTAAGAAGTACACATTCAACATCAGTTTAAATTCACTTAAAAACAAATAATCATTAAAACCACCCTCTATTAAACATTTCTTGTTTAAAAGATGTTTCATGTCTATCTAATTTGATTCAAAAAATCAAACTGGATGAATAAAGTGAGTTTTTGTTAAGATGATAAAAGAGTGTTCAACTTCTTTGTCAGGTAAAAAGAACAAGAGTCGAGAGGGCGGCCTGGACTGGCCAACAAGGTTGAAAATCATAAAGGGAGTGGCGAGGGGGATGCTCTACCTCTACAACGAGCTCCCCACCATGGTCGTCCCCAACGGCCACCTCAAGTCCTCCAACGTCCTCCTTGACGCCGCCTACGACCCCCTCATCGCCGACTACGGCCTCCTCCCCATCCTCAACCACGACCACGCCGAGGACCACATGATCGCCTTCCGCTCCCCCGACTTCCGGCAGGGCGCCAGGCGCCTCTCCCGGAAGACCGACGTCTGGGCCCTCGGGACCCTCGTCCTCGAGACGCTGACCGGGAAGTTCTCGACGGACGCCGACGTCGTTGACTGGGTCAAGTCAACGGTCCCGAGCACCCTCGACGCTCTAGACGGGGACATGATGAGGGGGGCGGCCGCCAAGGGCTACGAGGGCGAAATCGTCAAGTTGCTTAGGATCGGGCTCGAGTGCTGCGAGGCGAACGCGGAGGAGCGGTGGGACATGCGTGAAGCCGTCGAGCGGATCGAGGAAGTCAGAAAAAGGGATAACGGCGGCGAGGACGACTTCTACTCTTCGTACACCAGCGGCGGCGGCGACAACATCCGTTCATCGAGAGGCCTGTCTGATGATTTCAATCACGTCCCGCTCAATCTGTGATTGGTTTTGGCTTTGTTTGAGAACAATATTTGTGATTTGGACAATTTTTCTTGGACGTACAAATTAATTTAAAGAACGTTAGAAGTTACCATCACATAGTATACTTAAAGAATGCTAGAACTTATGTCGAATGGAGCTTCTAACTATTTTTCGTTCTCCGGAAAGAAAATCAATATATATGTATAGGATTGAAAAGTGATACAGATTACAGACTATTGATTTTTCGTTGGCTGGTTAGTTTGAGAATTATATTTACGATTAGTTAGAGAGTGTTTTAAATAATTTTACAATTTTATAATGTGCTGAATTAAGTTTGAAAAACTAAGAGCTAAATTCTATATATTTTTAAGAATAACATTAGAGATTACCGTTAGTATTTTGGATAAAACTTTAACGGCATAAGTTACTTTGAAAACGCTACTCGTAGATAATCTTTTCAAAACAATAACACTAATCTCTGACGTTATTTTCAAACAAACCCTCTACCGGAATACTATTCATAGAACTACATCCCCCCTCTCCAAAATCTTTTCGTTTTTTGTCCCAAAAATTCTTCCATTATTACTAACTTATAATCCTATATAGTACTCCCTCTGCCCTGAGTTGAATTGTTGATTCCAATTTAGAGACTTGATAAATTTTATTTTCAATTTAATTTGTTTAATTGTGTGAATAAAATTTAAAAATCAAATTCATGTAATGCGTATTTAAAAATTATATAAAAAAATTTCAAAACAGGACGTGGCAAGAATATTTTGTACTCCGGGGTATTAAGAAATGGGTAGTCGCAATAAATATATAAGTGAATAAAGATTGTAAAATGAACACCAATTTAATGTATCAATCGACCAATTAATCACATCCTATTCTCACTTTAAAAGTTGAGGGAAAGTTTTTTTTTGGTAGTAATTTTCAAAAAATAAAGGACTGAAATCGGTATCAAATGAGTCCCTACATTTGTTATTATAGTTTGAACCATTTTAAAAAGGGAGGTAGTATATACGTACGGAGTATATACTCCCTCCTTCCCAAAAAGATTTACATCTTTTGACTAAAGTTGAAATTAAGCGAGGGATAATTTTGTGTTGACTTTCCAAAAATACCCTTGATGTGATGGGTAAAAGTTGGATGTGATGTGTAGATTATTAGAAAAAAGGTATGATGTGATAGGTAGGGTTTAAAAAAGTAAGAGGTAAAAGAGGTTTTTTAATAGAAATGGGTAGGAGAGTGTTGGACGCAATTTTTTTGAAAGATGTAAATCTTTTTGGGACGCAGGTAGTATATGGTACCCCTATAACTCCAAAATGCCTCACTTGTTAAATGAGAAAATATTTTGTGTCACGGATACGAAATCTACATTCTAAATTATAGATATGACGATTTTATTTTTTAGTGCTATTTATTCGATTACAAGATATTACTCCCTCCGTCCCAGTGTATTTGTCTAGTTTAACTTTTTTAAGTCAAACTGGACAAATTTTGAGCTTCAATTAAATAAAAATCATAATGTGTTTTAACATAAAAATGACTTTATTGGATTTATTGTATTGAGAACTTTCAAAATTGTATTTCATTATGCTAATATGCAATATAAATTGAGAGTAATTAGAATTCAAAGTTTGTCTAGTGTGATTCAAAAAAGTCAAACTGGACAAATACACTCGAACGGAGATAGTATGTTTTAATAACCTAATAATGGCTCTGCTACGACTCGAAACTAAGTTCCCATATATTCATAAGACAACATAATTAATATTCATATTATAACTCAATATGTACAGAGTATATTGTTATACTCCCTCCGTCCCTGAAAACTTTTCTCCTTTCTTTTTTCATCTGTCTCAAAAAACACTTCTCATTTCTATTAAAAAGTCACTTTTGCCCCTTACTTTTTCATACCCTACCTATCACATCATACTTTTTTACTAATAATCTATCCATCAAATCATACTTTTACCCATCACATCAAAGGACATTTTTGGAAGTTCAATACCAAAATACACTCTCCTTAAATCTCTCTTCAAAATCAAAACTCCCATGTTTTTCGTGACGGAGGGAGTAGAATGCATGATCAAAGTTTGAACAATTTGATCAAAAAAGTCTTCTAAAACGGAAAATACAAGAGGTTCTTAAAATTAAACATTGAAGTGCCATATCTAAATTAGTTTAATTAATACGAGTACCACAAATTAATAAAGAAAAAAAAGAAACTCAAAAGTCAAAATGTTTCGTTGAAGGTCTACGGGAATAGACGGTGGGAGCATTATTAGGGTTAGGGTTTGTGCTGGTCGAACCGAACTCGAAAACGGCGTTGGGAAAAAGGCCGCTGCTATACGCCGCCGTTCCAAGAGGCGGAGGACTGTACGGATGCCCGGGGAAAACCGGCGGTCCTAGATGGAAATAGTAGTGCCGAAAGGATGTTGGTGGGACGCCAGCGGCGGCAGCCGCCGCAGCAAGATCGAGTGGAGAGAAGGGTTCGGGCTCCTCCGCCCCCTCCGCCCACGCCTTCTTTGGCTTTCTCCGGCGAACCCTGGTTCTCACGGCGGCGGAAGAAGATGAAGGTTGAGAGGAACTCATGGTGACCAAAATTAATTAATTTGGGAGATTGATAGATCCCATACCAAATAATCTCTATATATAGGTGAGTTTAGTGGAATAATATATAGGGATTAGGGAGTACAATTACAACTAGAATTAGGGGTTTATAGAAGTTTTTAACTTTCCAAATAAAATTAGGAGATCATGATAGTTTTTAACTTTCCAAAGATTAATGAATTTAAAGTTTTTAGCTATAAAAAATCCAAAAAAAAAAATCAATCAATTCAACACTTTTCGAACTGTACAATCCTATTTCACTTGCATAAATGTACTAGTGAGTAGTGATGGGGTGGAGTGGCTTGAAAGCAGGGAATAATTTTTTTTGAAACACTTTTTGATGGAATTCTTCAAATTTAACCTTTTTTAGGGTAATTGATTTGATTACCACATTGTATTTGTTCATATCTTTCTCAATGATCTTGAACCCTAAAGAACTTTTTAAATTTTAGAGAGTAAGCTTCCAACCATTCAAGTAAATGAAGAAGACCGTTCCGATTTATTAACTCAACTATACCTAGGATAAAAATTTTAAAATGCACGGTATATATAGTTGATATGAAATTTATACAAAGGGTATGATCCACACCATATACATGCACCTTTTATATGGATATATGAAAGCATACATAGTAAATTATATTACTCGTAAGGAAAAACAAAAACATAAAACAAAGAGTAAATCAAAACGAGTAGATTTATCAAGAAGGGTTCAGAGAGCATTCAGGCGGGAATCCCTGAGGGAAGCGTTTTGCATCGGTACAATAGTTGTAAATCATGTAATTCTTCTGCACCCACTTGACCCTCGCTTGCCCAGCGCTATCCAGCGACTGAACCAACCAGGGGTTCGTCGCTGGGTTCTTGGAACAAGAAGAGGAAGAAGAAGGAGAAGAGCTGCTCCAAACACAAGCTTGGGCAGTGTAGTTCCTGTAGGAGGCGACGAATGGGGCTTGGCTCCAATCCGTCTTCACTAGCCCGCCTCTTGTCGCCCAATCATCCGCATCCCATAGACTCCCATATACCCACATTGCTTGGCTTCTGGGATATGAGACCCCATTTGCTTCCAAGTTTTTGAACTGTCTTATCGGTGTCCCGTCTACTGAGAATCTGTCATCATCATTAATTATAAAGTAATCGATTAATGACGATATAATTGAAGCTTGAGTTCACGTGTGAGTAACCTAAGTCTGATTATTTCTACATTGATTTTCGTGTTATGTAATCATACCACGGATAATACCAAAGTTAATATCCCTCCTTCCGTCCCATAAAAAACCTTCCACGTTTTCTTTTTTGCATGTTTAAAAAATGCTGCACTTGAAATAATTTTGTCGGCCTTATAATTTTCTTCTCTTTTTTCTTACTTTGAACCATAGCATTTTATTTTGGAAAAAAAAACTTAGAGGTACCCCAGATAGTGTACCCCAAGTGTACATTGCGACACGCACTGATACTTATTATCTGTGTGAAACACAAACAATGTGTGTGTATGTGGGAAGGGTGGTATGCACCTAAGGTACCCTAACAACTCCTTATTTTTCTTAATCTCTAGATCAAATTAATTTGTTTGTTTGGGAGAGAGAGAACATATACTTGTAGAAGTTGGTGTATATACTTACATGATGCTTAAGGGGTTCCAAAGAACGGAGTAGGTGTGGAAGTCCTTCGTGGGGTCAAACCATAGGTAAAACTGTTGTTCCTTCCCGCCCTTGCCTAGGGCATAGACGTTGGTGTGTAGGACATATGGGTCCCCACTTGCGTTCCCCAGAAACTCAAAGTCAATCTCGTCGTGTGTTGACCCTAGAGAAGACAACTGCACACACCAATATAATTGGATAATTATTGGCCACCAAATTCCAATTATTATAACCTTAATTCCTCAGTTGAAAAGTAGGCATATAGAACAAAAACACACTTATTCACACTATATTTTTTTTGTAAATTAATAAAAAGTCTCTAATTGTACGTTCAATATTAATTTTCTGTCTTCTTATTTACTCCTTATAAATTTTGACATTTGGCTTTACAAAACTTAAGAAATTATCACATAGTAAAGAGTGATGCAAATTTAATAAGAACAGAGAAAAAGATTGTGAATCATTTTTTATCACCCTGGTTCATATGACATTGTCCGACAATGTCATAATATGACCCGGAGGTCTACGATGTTCCATTCGTAAAATTGATGATTCTTATTACCCATCCTAACAATCTATTGTTTGGTAGTACAAAATGATTTGGAATCGGAAAATTTAATTTATTCAAATCAAATTTATAGAATTTTAAGTCTCAATTCAATTCCAACTATGTAAATTCTGTGCATATGGAATTGATGGAATTAGAATTGAATTGGAATTAAAAATTCATTGAATTCACCAATTTCAAAACATTTTTTGTACTATCAATTCCAAATCTACATAATTTTTGTACAACTAAACACCAAAATTGAAATTGAAGTCCTCAACTCTAATTCTATAGTTTGAATTTCGTGAATCAAACGGGGCCTTACGAAATTTATTTGTGGAAAAATTAAATATAGGTAGCTTAAATTTATTTTGAGCTAGAAGAAATTTTGTAAATTACGTGTTCAAT